CTCACTCGAGAATTTGTATGGTTTCTATCATTTCGTGGAAGGATACCACATGTGCTCTTAAACCGTAAGATCCTCATTTCTTGATGCAAGAAATGGTTATCCTTTCCAGAAATGGAGATCGGCCGCCTTCCCTTGTCAGATAATCAAAGAACTAGGTAAAATGACCAAACAGAAGTCTTGGGAATGAAGTCCGGCCGATCTCCATTTCTGGAAAAACTTTCAGGAGGCAAGGATTCCAACTTGCCACCTCGTGTCTATGTAGCAGTGAGCTTATCCACTATGCTGTCGGCCGCTTGTCGCAGGGGGTCATCGTTCCCAACTTGTGCGGACAGAGCAGAGATTAAATGGTCCGTGAACTCCCTTCAGAGAATCATTCCGCAAATTCGGTGGGCAGATTGGGTTCAGCGGCTCAAGACACGACCAAATATACAGGAGGAGGGGCAATAAAAAAGTCACTTCGATCGAGTCACATATCAGCAAAGTTTTCGCAGCCCAGACAGAGGACGTGGATACGAGTACCAGGGCGGAAGATACCCAAGATGTTCCTCGATAAGCAGGAGCTGGCTCTCGCCCATCACCTTCATGTACACCAAAATATGAAGTCATCTCGCAGCCTGACTGGAGAAGACCTTTGGAATTCATGTCACCTCCAAACAGCTGCGAAACTTCTAGTATGGAGTCACCCATGGATAGCTACCTGGAGACCAGTACTCTCGATCTGGAAGACCTCCAACATCGAGCAGCTCCGACAACGTCGCTACGGTCTAGGACATCATCTTCACCACAGTCGCCAAGGCGCGGGTTGATGGTATGGACCGGACGTACCTGGTATGGAAAGACCTATATTTTCTTCGTGGACCCGGACTGAAGGTGAGCGCTGGCGGTTACATCGAGCAACTCGAGAAGAATATCCTCCCACATGTCGTCGCCCGTACCTTCTTGGAAACTTTGTACAGCATTGGGTGCCACCACATGGAATCGAAGGGCGTTGGAAAAACTCTCGCCTACTTGGAATGGAAGGGCGTTGAGTACTAAAGGAGATGGAATATCCAAGTAGGTCACCTGACCTGAACTCCCTCAATTACCCGGTTCGGGCGGAGTTCAATAGGGTGGTCTACGGTGGCGGAGAAATCGACTATCTCGCTGATCTCAGGCACCACATCGCGGTCGCGTGCCAGAATCTCTCGATGGCGCTCGTCCAGAAGGCTGTGGCGGAGTGTCATGATAGTATTTAATATGCTCTTTAATATGGTGGAAAATGTCCGATCAGAATTCAATAAAGCGTTACTTACAGCGCCTCGAAAGCCAATGAAGGAAAGATACTTTTTTTGGCCCCCCTGGATAGTG